GTCAACAGATAGATGGGGTCAACCCAACAAACTGATTACCCAGACGCCTATATCAATAGTTCAGCATTATTTGAGCCCGCTACTGCTGCATGAGATACTGTGACGCCTCATGCTTTATGGCAGCACACTTTCTCACTAATGCTTAATGTGCCCTATGAGAAATTTACATTCGCAGTTGTATTATATTTCATCAAACCTATGGAAAGATGAAGATACTTGGGAGAGTTGCTTATGGATTCGCGAACACCTACAACTGGAGAGATAAATCATAGGTCACTCAAAACGCAAACAATAGTCTCAAGCCGAGTATTAGTGCAGAAAAGAATTGCAACTTGCATGATAGAAAAGAGCGGTCCAGAATGGTAATATTAAGGGAAAAGAATTCAGAGCCCCAATGAGTAAAACTTCTCCTCAATGCCTAGAGTCCAATCGGTATCTTTAATAAGAGCCATCTGAATTTAATTTAGATGTTTGATTAAGAAAGATGAGTGATCCGACATAACTATTGCATACCTTCTGTGCCTGACCTCCGTCGGGTAGGAAGCATCCCTCACAGGAAAGCTCTAAATCGGCGTACGAATGGAGGAACTTATCACCCGAGCAAACTCGTGCAATCCTCGTTTCCAGCATTCCAAATTCAGTAATGCTTGGTTGCTGTGCCACGAAGTAAATGTGTGGTACAACAGGCTGAGATGACCCACGTTGCCCTTTTTCAAGTGTGTATTGGAAGGAGAACTTGTACTTAATTCGAAAATCACTTTCCTGTAACCTCAATGAACTCTTAACACTTGGCTCTTTGCTGGCGTAATCAAAATCACGAAGTCTGATAGATATTGGATCAAGGTCGACCAATGTTGCGTCCTGAAACTGATCTTGCTCAAGCCCAACGTAAATGTAACTGCTATCGACCGTGAGAGTCGAGCTCAAGGAGGTATTCCAATTTACAACAGGAATAGGAATATCGGGTGCCCGTTTGGGGTGGAAATCCAACAGAGAAGAGTGCCGTTTCCATGGTTTGATGACTGATATGTTGGTAAGTTGAAGTCTTTCGCAAAATCCATGAAAAACATTATAGCACACATATAAAGCGTCTTCAACAGGGACAAAGTCGTTATTTGCTAAATTAGGCTCACTAGGGGCGCTACTTTCAGGTCCCAAATCAGACAAAGATTCCACATATTCAAAATTTGATGTCGACCAGGACTTCACAAATGCATCAGTTAAACGGGGACCGCAATCGTCAGAACGGTATCCGGAGGGTAACGGTCCATTGGCATACTGATTGAAGGTATGCAAGATCCCCCAGGAACAAAGCAAAATATTGAGCAGTTCTTTGGGCCGATTTTCCGTTCATTCACAAGGGATAGAGAATAGGAATTAAGTTGGAAAATTTTGTTTACACATGCGACAAATAGGTAAGAATCACCAGTGGAGTTAAACCGACGGAACAGAACTTTCGGAGGCTCAGTTTGACTATGTAGCTGAGAAGGCAGGAGGAACCTGTAATCACTTTTTACATAGATGCCAATAGTATTTGAAACTGAACTACTCAATAGAAGATAAGTTAAAGCATATAGTAGCCCGAGCATCCTGCATTGCACCCAACAAAGTGTTCATCAACGTACGCAAAGCTGACGTTTAACTGCCGTGTAGAGAGCAAACATACACAAGTACAAAGAAAACGTCAGAAGCCAAACCGGCAATCCCACTATTCAAGGCCAAGGAAATAATCAGAGCGGCGCTTTTGCAGACAACCTTGGACTTCCGCTCGCTCATACAAATAAATGTTAAAAACTGGATTCAAAGACTAATAAAAAGCCAGAAAAATACCAGATAAACTTCTGTTCGTTTGAACTCAGGGGTAAAGCTTAGGGGAATGGAAAGGTTAATCCTCAATAATTAAAAGAGATGGAGTTCATAATGAAGAAAGTTTAGTGATTTGCAACAAAGAACAACAAAGTGAATAATGCCTTCCAAACTTCAAAATATTAAAAAGGTTCGCTTAAGGCTAGTTAAAAATTACTTAATCATTAGCTAATTATTATGTACAGCTACTTGAAGCACGATTCCCATTTATCTCTCCTGCTCTGGCCTTCCTACCCTTAGAACAAAGAGGATAATTGGATTGGAAAATGTTTATTGGTTGGAGTCAATGGGAGTAGATATGGGTTTGGGAAGATCGGGGAACTGGGCTCCTAGCTGATTCGACGGATCCTGACCACGCCACAATCACGAGGTTGGAGTCGACTGCCTGCTTCTTTTTTAAAAGGTACATTTAAACAACATGAGTATTTTATAACCTTCTCGATCTTTTAGTACCATCTCCAGTGCTCCTACTTAAAAGTCGCATTCAAATTTGTTTTTCGATGGTTTTCTGTCTTCCGTTAGTGAGTAAACTTTATCTTCGTATCTGACCGGTGGCGTACCTTTGCAGAGTCGCATCTTGTTGGAGTGAACGATTACTGGCTAAGTACAGAGTTTTGCGCTGTGGTCGAGGTATTTTGCAGGTAAGAGCGCTTTCACTGCTTGAAAAGGGTCCTTGCCCATAAAGTGACACAACTTGTGGTGTGTTCCAGGTATGGGAACGGACCTGTATATCTGTACTAAGTCCTCTTCTCGGCAGGCGTTCGTTCGGGTGTGTTTGTCGTAATATTTCCTCCGCTCGATAAAGACAGTAGCAAGTGTTTACCTGCGTCGTTAAAAGTTTCTGTAATGTCTTTTTCAGGTGCAGCACATACCCTGGAACACCGTTGGTTGTTACTTCTGTGTTTGACAGGAAGGTATCGGAGGGTACTATTTTTTTGTGACTTGTAAGCATTTTGAACAATAAAACGCCTGTTAACGTATGAACTGTAGCCCCGTAGGTGAGACGAACACATTTAAGGCTTAAATTTCAATCTTCTGTTCTTGCATCTTTTGCAATAGCCTTCACTATTCCAATCAGAGTGCTATTTTTTCCTTTTCACCTGCCCATTGCCTTGCGGATGCCCTAATGTCGTACTTATCTCCCAAAACCGACTACTTACTGAAGTGCGGAAGACCTCCTAGATCCCAAAGTTAGGGCTTTGATCGCTACGAACGGATCCAGGTACTCCATGCTGGCAAATCCACCGATTGAAGAAGGCTGAAGCAACCGTTTCAACATCTTGTGTCATTTCTGTTCTGTCTAGGCTGTTTTCGTAAAGTAGTCTACCATAACCAGAATATACCGATTCCCTCTATTGGTAGCCGTAGAAAACCCATAGTTTTTTACCTACCTTATCCCCTGGTAATCGGTGGACAGGTTGCAGTGGTGCGATCGCTATGGGGTGCTGCCTTTTAAAGCTGCTGCAAGTAATACGGTTTCAGCAGAAGTCAAGTATATTAGGGGAGAGCGAAGGCCACCGGTACATTTTGCTTAAGGCGTTTAGCATCTTTTATTTACCCACGTGGCCGAGTTCCTCATGTGACTCCTGAAGACCTGTTTGTATTAATGAGCCAGGGACTATTAGGCACTTCAACCATTCCTACTATATCCGTCTGGTCGCCTTGCTGGATGAAGTCATCTCTCTTGCTGTGGGCGTATAAGAGAATGTGAAGAACTTCTTGTGCATCAGAGTCGGGTTGCGGTCGGTACTGATGTTCAACAAGTTTGCTCCAAATTATGGTACGCAACACAACGTCACCTGTTTCTGCAGCGAACAGTCTGTGGGAAAAAGCGTTTGCATTGCTATGCTTATTTTCTGTTCTGTATTGAACTGTAAAATCATTGATGCAGATCTTCGTACCAGGGTGCAACTGAGAAGTCTGTCTCTTCCATTGTTTTTAACCAAATGAGTGCCTAATGATCATTTCCAACACTGAACTTCCTGGACATTACGTAGTTTGATTTGCTTAACCACTGAGTAGATAGCGAACAGCCCACGTTGTGTTGCGTTTTTCTGCCTCACTTTTTCCCCAAGCGTGGTGCTAGCGTGGGCGATGCCGTGTTCCCTTCCTCCTTTCTTTGGCCCTTTATAAGAGTACACCGCCCACGGTTGCGTCGCTCGCGTCCCTATCCAGTACGAAGACCGAGGCGTTCGATTCAGAGTTGGGTAATGCTAGAATCGGTGCGGAGCAGAGTGTACGCTTGAGTTCTTTAAACGTGTTATCATGTTCTTTCTCCTACGTTAAATTCTTCGCCCGCCTTCGAGTTAAATCATGCAATGGGCTAACGATCTAAGCAGAATCTTTAATAAAACATGCGTAGCAATTTTTTTGAACCTTGAAAATCGCGGAGCTTCATTTGAATGTTTGGTGTTGGCCATAATCTCACTTGTTTTGTACGGTCTTCAGTGACTGTCATCCCGTCTGACCAGACTGTATATCTCAGGTAGGTAGACGAGCATTGCAGAAAACGACACTTTTCGGATTCAGGACCATCCGTGCATCCAGCAGGCGGCCCAACAATAGTTTCAGGCCAGCCTTATGCTCCTGAATATCTCCACCAAGGTAGAGAGTATCATCTAGGTAAATTATTCAGTTCTGCGAATAAACTAATTAATGCTGCTTGCATTGGGAGTCGTTAGGTGGCCGCAGCGTTACAGAGTCTAAAGAGCTTCATCTGAAATTCATAAAGCCCCTTTGGCAATATAAAGGCTGTCTTCTCTCTGTCCATTTCTACCACTTCCACTTGCGAATACACTGATTTTAAGTTTTAGGTGGAGGACCATTTTGACCCATGTAGGGAGTCTAGCGAATTGTTAATGTAAGGTAATGGAAAGCCTTTTCCTTAGTTGCGGCGTTCAGCTTCCTGTAGTCAATTTACGATCGAAGGATACTGGTGCCCCCCTTTACCAGCGCGATTGGAGTAGCTTTATGGCTTTATTATGGCTTTATAACCTCGTCCTGGATCATCTCTTCGACTAGGTGGTTTACTTCTTGCAAAGGAGGTGGAACACATCTGGGTAGTTGTCAGGTAGGTCTGGCCTTGCCAGTATTTATTTTATGCTTGACAATACTTGTTCGTCTCGGTTCAGCGCCTTGACGTGAGAATATATTCGCGAACTTAATCAGCAGCTAGCGAAGTTGATTTCCTTTCATCACCAGAAATGTGAATAAGCTGTGCTCAGGGATCATCTTGCGTTGTTCATGGGTGTGACTGCTGCTTCAAAAAGAGCGCTGCAGATGTCATCTGCTTCTTCTTTTAGTAGCTAACCATCTGTGTTGGCTTCTGTGCCTCGTTGGGTGGAAAAGGTACCCCCTGCAAAATTTAGGACGGATTTGGTGTAACGTAGAAAATCAGTACCAAGTTCTATGTCCCAAGCCAGTTCTGTACACACAATGAATTTCAGCG